AGCTATCTCTCCAGCTCCTCCCCCCCTTTTTTATTTATTTGTTTATCTTTTTTTTTTTTGAGACAGAGTCTCACTATACAGTTTAGGCTGGCCTTCAGCTCACCTTGTTGCCTAGCCAGGCTGGTTTCAAACTCACAATTATTCTCCTGTCTCAGACTCCTGAGTGCTGGGATTACAGGCATGCACCACTATGCCTAGCTAACATTTCCTTTTTTTTTTTTTTTTAAATGCATTTGGTACAGGGTCTCATTGCACAGCTCAGACTCATAGTGATCCTCCTGTTTTTGTTGTAGGCAGCTAAATTAGAAATATTACAGGCAGCCAGGCAGGGCTAGGCCCTCAAGGAGATAACGCAGAAGACAAGATACCTTACAACTGTAAGAGCGACAGATGCTCCTGCCGTGGGCCAGACCTGAAGACCAAAGATCAAACAAATGCTGACCTCCCTAAAGATAACCATCTGGGACTGATCATCACTTTGAGGAAGCCAGGAGGAGTCACTAATCTAACTGCTACTGGTTGGCTACTGGATAAACTCCCACATTCATGCTGCTTGCTGCATGACTTGCTTTCCCATTTAGTCTTGGATTTAATCAATTTTACCTGAGCTTGTAATCTCATTGGTTGACCATGATTTTGTCCCGCCTCATGCCCACTTAAGTGAGTTCCCATGTTCTCCACCTTAGACCTGCCTCACTGCATGGTTTTACTCTATAAAAGTCCCTAGAAGAGATAGCTTCCCAGGGACAACCCACTCAAGTTCCCTCTGTCCCTCTCAGACAGAAGCTTGCTTTCTCCCCATAAATATTCTGCTCTTAACCTCAATTTGTTATTGAAATTCATTCTTCAGTTTTAGAGAACACGAACTCATCCCACATAACTTTCAGGTTGGGAGAGTTTCATTCCCCTATATCATCTTTAGCCTCCCCAGTACTGGGATTACAGGTGCGTGCTACCATACCTGGTCTCTCTGTCTGTCTGTCTGTCTGTCTGTCTGTCTGTCTGTCTGTCTCTCTCTCTCTCTCTCTCTCTCTCTCTCTCTCTCTCTTTGTTATTTGTTTTTGTTTTTATGTATTTAGTACTGGATCTACAGGATCTCACTACATAGATCTGACTCTAGTGATTCTCCTGTTTTCAGCCTCCCAAGTGCTGGGATTACAGGCCTATGCCACCACACCTGGTCTCAGTTGCCATCTCAGCATGCCCCAGGGGCGAGGCCTGCATGGCACGCAGGGATCAGCATCAAACCCTAGCTGCTGTTCTCTGCCTAAACAGGCACTTCAGTCCACTGATCTTGTTTTGTTTTTTGAGAGGAGATCTCACTATGTAGTTCAGGCCACACTTGAACTATGTGGCCCCAAGGTGTCCTTAAACTGGCAGTAATCCCCCTGTCTCCATCTGGGATTATAGGCATGCATCACCACACCCTATAAAACACCTCCATTTGAATCCAGAAATTCAGAAGTACTTTCTGAGATAGGTGTGGTGGTGCACATTGGTAACCCCAGGCCTCAGGTGATGTTGAACTGGGACAGTGGTGTGTTTAAGGCTGGCCCGAACTACACAGCAAGCCTCTGACTCAAAAACCAAACAAAGGAGCAAAAAAGGCAGGCATAGTGGTGCATGCCTGTAGTCTAGCACCCTGAGAGGCTTCAGCAGAAATATCACACATTTGAGTCCTGCCTAGGGATTTAGCAAGATCCCACCTCAAAATAAAAAATTAAAATGACTGGGGGTAGAGCTCAGTGTGAAGGCCCTGGGTTTAATCCCCAGTACTACACATATGCATACACATACAGAAGCCAAGATGGTGGCCCACACCTGTCATCTCAAGCCTTGGAAGCTGAGGCAGGAGATTCACAGAGTTAAGGCTCAGCAGCCTGGGCTGCATTGTGAGTTTAAAGCAAGAATGGTCTATGTAGCAAGAACCTGTTTCAAAAAAAGAAAAAGAGGGGCTGGTGAGATGGCTCAGTGGTCTAAGGCACCTACTTAGAACAAGCTAAGCTAAACAAAAGCACAGGGACCACGGTTCAATCCTCCAGCACCACATGTCAGCCAGCCCCGCCCCCTGGTGGGCTGAGCTGGACACACACACACACACACACACACACACACACACACACAATAAATAAATAAATAAATAAATAAATTTAAAAAAAAAGGCTCCAAAAGGGAGAGAGAGAGGGACAAGAAGAGGGAGAGAGGGACAGGGAAAAGGAGGGGGAGAGGACAAGAGGGAAAGAGAGAGACAGACACAGATATAGACAGAGAGACAGAGAGAATGAGAATCTCACTGTAGCAGCATCACCTCCTTCCCCAGCCCGTACTTACCTGGAGATGGCAAACATCCCTGTGAGCAGGGGGAGCAACTTGAGGGTGTCCTGAGGCAGGTAGGTGGAAAGCACAGCCAGGTTGAAGAAGTAGAGGATGAAGAGCTGGACAGACTGGGCCACATACTGCCGGTGGATCTCTACCTCCCGCCTTGGCTCTCCAAAGGGGCGTAGGGCAGAAAAGCACAGCAGGCTCAGGCCATACACCAAGAGTCCTGGTGGGGTGGGAAGCACATAGGGTCAGAAGAAGCAGGAGACAGGAGCCAAAGCAGGAAGGCTGGCATGGGGTGCACAGTGGAGAGGCATGGGCATGGCACTGTGCAGTGGGTCAGAGGTGGTCCTGGGAGATGGGTACCAAGAGTCAAGTGTAGGAGGGCCTATGGTTCAGGCTGAGTGAATGCCAGGCAGATCCTGCTCCCTCAAGCTCTCTTCCCAGATGCCCCTTTCTTCTCCCAGGGTCTAGGACTCACCCAGTACAATGGGGAGGGTAGCAAAGACCCCACAACGCAGAGTGTAGACCAGGCGAGAGCTCATGGTGGGCAGCCGTGGGGCATCAAAAGGCAGGAAGGCATATGCTCCGTAGAGTAGGCAGGGGAAGAGGATGAGAGCAGCTCCCACTGAGGCCACAGCCCTTATCCCCTCTCGGCCTCCACAACTTCCGCAGCCTCTGCAGGACCGGCCTGTTGGCCTCATGACTGCCTCGGCCCACTTGCACTCAGGGGGCTCAGGATGGGTGGCACGAGGGGGCAGGAAGTTTCTGTGCTCAGTCTCCCCTGCCTCAAAGTGCACAATGAGGTCCTCCTGGGGCTTTCGCTCAATGCACTGTAGGTCAATGGGCACAATGGCCCGGGCTGCCTTTTCAGGCAGCAAGTTACTGTCATCTTCAGGCAGCTCCTCTGGTTTGGTGAGTGCTTCCGACTCAAGAGGGTCTGGCTCAATGTCCCGCCAGCCAGGGGGGTCAGGGAATGGGGCACTGGGCTGGGGATCAGTCCCCCAGGGCAAAGTGGCAGCCTCACTTACTGTGCTGTCTAGCCCATCCTCAGTCCCCTCTCTGCCAATGGGAGACCCAACTGAAGACCCCACTCTGAGGGACTCAACACCAGGGGACTCAGTTCCACCTTCCCCTTCTGACTGCTGGCCACTGAGGAGAAGAGTCTGAGGAGAGCTCTTCTCTGGGGTTTTAGGCCCCTTCACTTCCAAAAGGGCCAAGGTCTCAGGTTCTGTCATCCTGGGGTACCAGTCCTGGGGTCCACCGCAAGGTCATGTCATCCTGGAAGGAGCAGAGGAAAGCTCTGTCAGAAGCCCCTGTCTTCTGGCCTTTTGAACAGTTCATGGAGGGAGACTCTCCAGGGCCGATGGGCTGGAGGGCTCCGGCCCTTCTGGGACCTTAGGGAGAATATGGTGTTGAAACAGGGAGGCAGGCAGGCAGGCAGGCAGGCAGGCAGTGAGCAGCTGCAATAGAGACACCCTTTCAACATCAAATGCTGTCTAGCAGGACAGGGTGAGTCAGGGGGCACAGGATTTGGCAGCTGTGGCCTCCCTCAGCCCCACCCATGCTTCTGCCCCTACACCAGAAACCCTGGGGTCATGGCCAGCATAGTAGGAACAGGAGTAGTAGAACTTTGTCGAGAGTGTCTTCCCACCAGGGATCTCCTGGTAGACAGAGAAACTACTCCTCTACTGTCCCACCACCTGTTCTCCCTTCACTTCCAAAAGGGCCTGCTTGGAACTCTCCTGGCCACTGAGAGCAGCTATGGCTGGCAAATCTGTCCCAAGGAGCTGGCAGCTGCAGCACACTCAGTCTTTCTGTCTGTAATCTAGGTGCTTGGTCAGTTTCCAAATGCCTCATTATCCCATCCCAGTCACCTCCACAGGTCCTGGGTCTACCCATTTTGCCTTGTAGGTCTAATCATGGCTGTTTTTCATTCCTTCTCTCCTGTCTTTCTGCCCTCCTTGCTGCTCTCCATCTAGCTCACTCTGGATGTGACCGATTCCCCTGCTTCATTCCCTCGAGGGCTCTCCCACCCTTGCTATTTGGACCCATGACACCCTCTTACTTTTCATCTGGAGAGAGGTGAAGGATTCCCAGCATCCAGGAAGGAGCTGCCTAGCTCCCTGCTGGCTCTGCAAGTGTTTCTCTCTGGCTGACTCCCTCTACCTGTGTCTCCAAACCTGTCTGACCAGAGCAGGTGGGGCCCAAATTAAAGGGGCAGGCCCGCCCCTGCTGAATTGGCCGACAGAAAAAGTAGTGAAGAATGTCATCCTTTGTGGAAGGTTTGCAGTTTGCCTTAGAAGTTAAATTTATGTTCTAGATACTTGGGATGTATGAAGATTCCCAGTTCAGGCAAGCAGAGGGGGAGGAGGGAGGTTATGTACCACTGGGTCTTAGAGTAATCATGGGAATACCTAGAAAAAGAGATGGAATTTATAAACATTTATTCATTTGAAAATGTTTATTATCAGGTGTGATCCACACCTATAATTCCAGCACTCTGGGAGGCTTAGGCAAGAGGACTGAAAATTCAAGTCCAACCTAGGCAACTTAGTGATTTAGCAGGACCCTGTCTCAGAAAATAAGAATTTGAAGGTATAGTTAATTGCAAAGGCTGGAATCAATCCCAAGTACTAGGAAAAAAGAAAAAGTTTAAAAATTTGAGCATTAAAAGGCCGAAGAGGGGGGGCTGGTGAGATGGCTCAGTGGTCTAAAGCACCTACTTGGAACAAGCTTGGCAAAGCACAGAGACTGTGGTTCGATCCTCCAGCACCACATGCCAACCAGCCCCGCCCCCTGGTGGGCTGAGCTGGCCACACACACACACACACACACACAC